TGGTAATATCGCAGTGATTCTGGAAAAGTTGAGAATCTGAAATGGATAAATTTTATAGAACATATTTATTTATGTTAATTTTCCTTATTTGCTTCTTCTTAATAACAAAGCTTCTACTTAATAAGATGTTAATTCTAGAGATAGTTGAAGAAAATTACACAGGATTTATAGAAAAATTATGTGATAGAAAAAGGATGGAAGATTAAAGTGTGCATGAACTGTTAATTACAAAGAGAGAAAAGATGCTTTTCAAGAAAGCTGCTCATGACAAATAAATATTATTAGGAGAGTTGTTTACCTGCTGGATTTAATTAGAGAGTAAGGCTCTCATTTAGAACCTTTCTCTGTGTGTGTGTATACACATGCGTGTTTGTCTGCAACTGAAGTGTTTGATCCAGCAGTATAGAGCAGACAAAAAATGCATCTTGCTTTGATACTGCCAATTTCTTCAGTGTTTCAGACATAGGTAATAGAGTAGCAGTATACAAATTTGTCTATTCACATCAGGTGTAATTTGTTCTTTATGAAGTAAAGCAGAACATAAAGGGAGAGAAGTAGAGGCATAGGCAAGATTGGTACTATGGTTATATCCCATAGCAGTGGGAAATACTGAAGAGGAGAATGCACACCTATAATGCACAAAAGTGGGTTATTAAATTGATGTTATACTTGATATGAAGGAGCAATGGGAAAACAGCTCTGCCTGTCACTGATGTAATATTTTTTTTGTGTATTACAAAGAAAGAATTACTGAAATGTGTTTTCTTTAGAAGCTTGTTGAGAACATTTTGACAGAAAAATTACAGATTTGGATTTATATGTGAAAGATTCATGTAGAAAATGCTGATTCATTACTAATGGCTTTGTTTTAATGTCTCATTTGAAGGTGGGAACGCAGGTACTTTCTAGGAGGTGTTTTTTCTGGCAAAAGCTGTTGCTAAGTGGATTGTACTGCTTCATGTCTCAGATGAATGAACCTGGAGTGGGGGAGGAATAGGTGAGATATCCCTCAGGTTTCAGCAAGCGTAAGGCAAAAGAATTGCAGTAGAAACATTTATTTTCCTTTGTCTTCTGATCTTCTTTCTCTTGAGAATGTTTCAGAAATAACCATCTCAACCATTTGTGGAAGCTTTGTACCCATTTGGTTGAAAACTCTGATTTTTTTTTTTTCTTCTAATTTATATTAATGTTCCAAGGCCACAGAATCCCTGTGTGACTCCTGCAGCATTACTTACTAAAATTCCCTTGAAATCAATGTAGTTGTTTTCATAACTTCAATATGCAACTTTTAAGATTGTTTTAAGATGTGTAAGAAAGAAGTGTAGTGAGTGCTTTATTTCTTGGAAACTAAAGGTAATTTTGGTGTGTCTTAGTTTGGTTACCAGTCCTTATGGTGGGAGGTTGTGTTGTGGGGTGTGTGTTGTAGGGTTTTTTTGGCGTCATTGTAAGGTGTCACTGGTCAGCCACTGGCTTGCTTTGGACTTCTTGGAGAGCTTTGTGGAGCTTGGCTGCTGGCTCCCTATGCTTCTCACCCGCTTATTTTACCTTGTATTTATTTGCTGCTTCACATTAAGCAGAAGTGCTTAATTCTGAAATGTTTGTTTACAGAAGGAAAAAAGGGAAATTTGTTGACTGTGGCAGCAGCATTTCTGTGCCAGGTTCTTCCCAGTGTCTCCTTTATTTATAAAGGAGAGTTGGGGGAGATGGCTTGGAATGGGGGTGTGGGGAGCAAGGATTGACAGACACTGCTTGTACAGCACCAGTACAGCCAGGTAGGTCTTGGGAATTGGGGGATTTATGGGCACTTCCAGCAGCGTGATCTGGTTCATGTGAGGTTTAGGATTGCTCCCAACCACTTGGCAGTAGGAAGTGTCTTGGATTAATGTAATAGGATCACACCGTAGGTGACCTTTTGGTACCGAAGGTCGTGGCATTTTGCAAAAGGGGCAGAACAGGTAATGCAGATGATGTGAGGCACGTGAGTGAATATCATAGAGACACAGAGCTGCAGGGCTGTTCTCTTTGACTCCAGAGCAGGTTTTTACTGGGTTTGGTTTTGTTCAGGATCAGGTTTTTTTTTTTCCCTCCTTCCTTGATCTAATGCAGAGAGCAAAGCATTGAGCAGCCCTATGCTGTAAAGGTCCTACCTTCAGCATATCGCATGCTTTCATTAAGAACAGATAGAAAGAGGGAATCTGATTCCTTCAGAGTCTGGAAAAAGCTCAGACTTAATAATCCTTATGTTGTTGAGGGAAGGATTATGCCATCTGAAGAGGTAGCTTTATCTATTTTGACTCCCTTTTCATACTTGAGTGAGGTAGATGTATTTTTTTCTGTATAAATAAATTTATTTTAAAATAAATTTAATAAAAATATTTTTTTAAATTTTCTTAAATAGTTTGTGGGCCTGTAGGAGGAAATACTCAAAGCTAAAACTTTGACAGTTCTTATAGGAGACTGTACAAACAGGAGTAAATAAAATAGTTTATTTAAAATAAGTTTCTATAAATTTGTTAAGAAAATATAAACATGTTTGGATTACTCATTGCTATATGAAGTAGTCTGTATAAGAATGTTATTATGGCAAAATGGAAAAGACTGACTTGATATGCACTGGTTTGAAGCTTTTCTTTCAGCAGGAGAGATCTGTGCTTTGGCTGAATTTGGTGTACAATGTCTCCTGCTTGCAATTTGCTTCCTGGCCAATTTCTGACCAGTTTTTACTAAATCTATAGTTTTGCATCCTGTTGCACAGAGGCAACACCTGACACATTACTGGAAAGCTCTTTTTTTCTCTGTTCAAGTTCTTTAGTAGAATTTGGCTGACAGAATTGTTGATTTGATCTTTTTTTCTTTAAAGTAATCTTGATCCTGATCTTTTGCATTTGCCTAATTTATACTTTTATATAATGAGCACCTATAATAACCAAACCAACCAACCCTGAACTATAAAGTACCCCCCCTACATTGATATTCATAGGTTTTTTTTTTTTTTGAAAACTCTTAAAACAACCAAGTCAGTCAGGTTTTTGCTAAAAAGCTTTGATGTTTGCTTAAATCAACATAACAGATGTCCTCAGTAGTGTTTTATGATTGATGTCTCTGTGAGGTTGGCAGAAATTTTGGTCGGATAGGCAATGTTTTTGCTAAGCGCTGTTGCTTAAATTAGCACAAGTCAAAAATTAGTGGTCTTCTCCCATGAGGTTCTCTTTATCCTTCTGTCTCAAAAGCTTTCCTAAATAATGAGACAAACTAAATTGAAAAGTCATATGTAAATTTATACATAAAAAGTTATAAACTGAAAATTTTGACTAAACCAGAGCGTTGTTTTGATAGCTGTGATTCAGTCTTCTTCAGTTTGCGGTGCAAAAGTAAAACATGACTCAGCAGTGAGTTTTGTAATAGAAGAATTAATCTTGTCTTATATAGAGAAAGTTTAATTGTAGGTGAGATTCTTGTTTAGTTGTTCTTTAAAAATGTTTTTTTCTTGCTGGAAAATGGTAGCGCTTATGCTGAAGTACTGGGCTTAAATAACTCTGTAAGAGAATTGCAGTCCCTCTGGCTTTAGTAGAATGAACAATGACTTCATTTGCATTTGGAGCAGTAAAAGAAAAACCCTTCCATGACTTAGCCAACAGTCTAAAACTCAGCTTATGGATTTTGTACTCCCTTAGCCCCTGCTGTTCTACTTATGTTCAGTTTTACGCTGAAGAAGGCAGAAGGCAAACTAGTAGAGTTTGATACTGCTCTTTCTAGGAAGTCTGTTGGTGTAATTAAGCCACAGTTGAAGCCTCGAGAGCAGAATAGTCTGGATGTATCTGTTTCCCCTGGCACAGAGTGGGAATGCTGTTCTGCATTACCTTCTGACTCCAGCTAATGAGAGCTGCTAGTGCACAGGAGTTCCACAAAGCTTCCCATATCATAGTACTGAAGCTTAGAATTACTCAGCTGGGAAATCCTCTATTCCCATGCAAAGCAACACATCTTGCTACCTTATTCTTCTCAAGCATTTGTCTTTTATTAAAAAAATAGAATTGTTTCTTCATATGCTTCTATATATATGCATGCTCTTTTTTTGCCATCCGAATTGTTTCATTATTGGCTTTTCTTCTTTTTGGTGATGGTGGGCTAGAGACTCAGGATTTGCTAGATTCCATTGTCTGACATGAGCAGATAAATCCCATCAAGTGTCTGGGTTAGAGCACAGCTGGGAGCAGTAATTAGTCTTGGAACACTGGCAGGACTGGAAAGGGCAATGTTAAAGTCACCAGGGCTGGAATCAGAAAGGTCTGTCAAGTGTACTTCCCTTCAAGTATTTTTTTGCCTTGTTTGTATGTTACACTGTGCATGTTATTTTCTTCAAAGCAAAGTATTTCTTGAAGCACCCAGGAATATTTATTTTGAGAATTTTTAGTGCATGTTACTCTTTGTTTCTTAAATGATTCTTTTATTATTTGGGAAAAGGTGATTTCTTGGTGAATAGTTATTTAAGTGTTGAGGAGGACCTGTGTTTCAGGCTGGATGTCTATCAATTATGTAATGGTTGCTGTGATGTATTTGAATAAAATAAAGAGCTGTGCAGAAGAAGGCAGGTTGCCAGCTACATAAAATTGAAAACTGGAACTGCAGATGGGGTAGAGTAGGCAAAGTGAACAACAAATGTCACAATTTCTGATCACTCAAGTTAAAACTATCCTTTTTTAAAGTTTTTTTTTTGAAGGCTAGAATAGGTCAACCCTTTAAAATGGATTCAGGTATTCAATTCAAAACTTAGTGTTCAAAACTTATTGTATACTTACAGAATTTTTGAAGAAAGATACTGATCCTGTGCTACCACCATCAGTGCAAAGAAAATACTTACGTTAAGTAATTTTTCATTAATTTTTGCATCTATGCTTTACCAATACAAAAGATAGGAACTAAAGACAATCTTATAGACAGAAGAAATGTTTGTCTCATTGACACATCATGTGATATTCCATTTTTTTTTTCTTTCACAGGTGTCTTTCAGATGAAGGAATTGAAGCTTGCTTAAGTTCATCTGAAAAAGTTAATACGAATGATATTATCCTGGTTGCCCTTAATGTAAGTCATGGTAGTGAAAATGTTTTTTCTGAGAAATCATGTTAAAAATGATAGATGCAATGGCTCAAATATAGGTTTGTGTGTCTAATTAAGTGTGCTATTGTCAGTGTGATTTATGTAAAGGACAGAGTACTTACCTCTCTCCTTGCCTGCATGAATTGAGAATTTTATTTGGAAAGAATATCTATTCCAAACTGCAAAACTTGTAGGAGGAAAAATGAATAGATTTGGCAGTAGAAAAATATTTATCTGGTTTATGAAATGTAAAACTAAAGTCAAACTATAAGCATTAATACAACCAGAAGTGCTGTGTAATACCATGAGTATGAAGTTTTAGTATAAATTTGTTTGGATTAAAAAAACACTCTGACTTCTGGACATGATGCTCTTAAAGCCCATTCAGACCACATATCCAGTGTTGTCTACATATTTATGTAACTAAAACCTGGTTTTTTTTCTTTACTATAGAAATCTGGATTAGTACTCATAATTTTGGCAAAAAATTAACAAGGAATGTATGGGATAGCACAACATCTTCAAAGCAATATACCATAATATTTTTTAAGGGTATGAGAAAAGTGTGCATGTGAATCCCGGTTTTTAAGAATTGTTGTATATACATTGCTGGTAATCATTAATAAATCTGCTGCCTTTCTTAGTTCATGTATTTGCTATTTTAGTTTAACATATCAAATCCATACTCAAATGTTTTAAATGGTTTAATATGAACTGTACTTTATTTGGTTTAATATAAACTTTGTAATAACTATATGTCGTTTCAAGGGGGAAAACAATGTAGTCGAGTGCTCAAGAGAAAAGTATTCTTCCTTTCTAAAATTAGAAATAATAAAATAATGAAATTATGTGGGAGTTGTTGGGGATTATTTTGTTCCCCCTCAAGATTTAACCACTAGATGGTTTTAGATGATACTTTGAAAAAGAGGGTCCCCTCTGCTCCTTTCACTTATTCTTTAAAGCATGTGTTCAGTCACTCATGTATACAGGCACCAGTTCATGTAAGGAATATGAAAAGAATTAAAGCAACATTATAATGCAAAGATGCAAAGAACGTAATGCAAAATATGCAGAAGGCAAGCATTTGATTCCTGGACCAGAGCAGCATGTCCATATATTTGAGAATGCATTGCTGCTTTATACAAAACCCAAATAAAGTTGGGTATTTAAAACCTAAATAAGTTGCTGGGTATTACCCTGCATGTAATCATATGCTGGAATGAGTACTGACATGATCATTTGTGACTGTGTTGGTATTTCAGGTTTGATAGATAATAAAATAAACCAGGAATGTTGCACAAGTACTCGAAACCAGAAGTAATGGCTTATCACTTTTAATCATTAAGTCAGGCTTTTTTGTGCTCGAAAGATTAACTTGTCTGTTGAGTATGTAGAGGGTAGCAGTGTGTCTTTAATGGCAGGATAATAGTGAATTTATATTCCACTTCCTACAAATTCTTCCTTGACTGCTCGAGGCACCTTTCAGGCAGAAGAAATCCAGAAGTCAGCTGACCTTTTTTACCTTTTTTTGAATGTGTATGTGTGAATTGCTTAAATAAGTATGAAGTAGACCTAAGTGTATATTCAGTCCTTCAAATGGTTCTATTTTGTCTGAGAACTTAAAAAGTATTTGTAAAAGTTGTCTACCGTTCCTGCTACTCTGATGGGAAGCTGGAGATTTCAGCAAGGGCAAGTTCTGCCTGAACAACCCAGTAGCCTTCTGTGATGGGGTGACTGCATCAGTGGGCAAGGGAAGGGCTACAGATGTCATTTATCTGGCCTTCTGTAAAGCCTTTGACACAGTCCCTGAGAATATCCTTCTCTCTAAATTGGGGAAAGACAGATTTAATGAATGGACTGTTAGAGGCATAAGAAAGTAATTGGGTGGTTGGACAGTCCCATCCAGAGAGTAGTGATTAATGGCTCAGAGTCCCAATGGACATCAGTGACAAGTGGCGTCCCTCAGGGATCTGTATTGGGACCACTGTCACTAAATATCTTCATTAATGACACAGATGAAGGGTCCAAGTACACCCTCAGCAAATTTTCAGATGACATCAAGCTGAGTGGTGCAGTTGACACACCTGAACGATAGGATGCCATCCAGAGGGACCTGGACAAGCTCAAGAATTGGGTGCATGGGAATCTCGTGAGGTTCCAGGACCAAGTGCAAGGTGCTGCACCTGGGCAAGCACCAGTGTCAGCACAGGCTGGGGATGCACAGATGGAGAGCAGCCCTGCTGAGAAGGACTTGGGGGTGCTGCTGGATGAGAGGCTGGACATGACCCAGCCATGTGCACTCACTGCCCAGAAAGTCAAATGTGTCCTGGGCTGCATCCAAAGCAGTGTGGGCAGCAGGGAGAGGGAGGGGATTCTGCCCCTGTGCTCTGGTGAGAACCCACCTGCAGTGCTGTACCAAGCTCTGGGGTCCCCAGTGCAGGGAGGACATGGAGCTGTTACAGCAAGTCCAGAGGAGGGACACCAAGATGATCAGAGATATAGACCATCTCTCCTGTGAGTAAAGGTTTGGGATGGTTCAGCCTGGAAAAGAAAAGGTTTAAGGGTGACCTAATTGTGACTTCCCAGTGCCTGAAGGAAGCTTAGGAGGGAGATGGAGAGAGAGACTTTTTACAAAGACATGTAATGAAAGAACAAGGGGGAATAGCTTCAATCTGAGAGTAGGTTTAGGCTGGATATGAGGGGGAAGTTCTTTACTGTGTGGGTGGTGAGGCGCTAGCATGGATTGCTCAGAGAAGTCATGGATGCCCCATCCCTGGAAGTGTTTAAGGGTTTGTTGGATGGGCTGTGAGCAGTATTGTCTTAGCAGAAGGTGTACCCTGCCCATAGGAGGGGATTAGAATTAGATGTTCTTCAAGGTCCCTTTCAACCCAAACCATTCTAGAATGATTCTGTAGACCACACAGGAGCCATTTGTAGGAGCCTGTGTGCTATTCAGAGACATACAAGTGACAGATTAGTTTCCCCAGTTGTGAAAAACTCAGATTTTCTCAGATTGAAAAACTGAAAGTACTTCCTTGTCATTGCCTGGCTATCTTGTGCAACAGAGATAGGATTAGGCATTTATACCCTCTATATACTCAGTACATATGCTAAAAGTGCATTCTTATAATTGTTTTCTAATTTGTAATTTACCAGTGTTTCTCACCAAAAACCAGAATAAATAATTTGCAATATTTTGGATACTAAGATAGAGCCCTGCTCAGTTTTAGATCAGGGTCCAGAACAGTAGGCCATTGACATATATTAATGGCAAAATATGGTTCAAGTTCTTGTAGTAATTACATTTAGCACATTTTATTTTGAAAGAGATGTTTATGATCATAATAAGGTAAGGATTTGTGCATGTAAAAAGACAGGAACTAAAAATACTTTTCTCTAAGTGCCAGATGGAGAGCGAAGATGGATGTTTTACCTCTGTGAAGCCTCACAGCTATGTTTAACCATTAAGCATTGCATAGCCATTTGGTTTTGTTTATTTAAAAGCATTTTAATCAATGTTGAAAATGTTAATTTCATTAATTAAAACAAGAATATAATTTAAAAAGCAAAAGGATTTCTTTTGTAAATTCTTGAGTTGTTGAATTTTTTATCACACAAAGGAGTGGATTTCTGTTGAATAAATAGTTGTCATGATGGAAAAAATGCTATTTTTATTCCTATGTTATGGGGGTTTTTTTTAAGTGCATATTTTAAGTTAATATTGTCTTGTCTTCTGTAATCATTTCAGACAGATTTAAGAACGATTGGCAAGAAATTCCTCCCCAGTGACATCAATGGTGGAAAGGTGGAAAAGGTAGACAATATTTTTACTTCACTTTTCTGTATTCTGTGATTTCTGTGTTATGACAGCCTTCGGTGGCACATTAGTCTGGTTTTGTCATTACTTCACATACAAAACCCCCCAATGTTTGAATCTATTATAGTGTAAAAATGTGAACATAAGCTCCATAAAAGAGGACTTTCTGGGTTTTATTTCAACAACTTTGAAATTATTGAATTAAAATCTGAACAATCCTGGCAACTTCATTTGTTGCTGGAAAGTCATTAAACTTGTTTAGTCTTGACATTGTATCAGAATTTCATTTTTTCCCCTCATTATCCTGAGAGGGCAAGAAAGCAGGTCAGAAATAAATCGAAGTAGATGTTTGATTCTGATACACAGTGATACATGTTTATGCTGGGTTACTTGCCTACTGGCATCCATGGCTATAGCTATGCACTTCATGTAATTTTCCTATGATTGTGTGTCCCACAAGTCATGTGGATAAAACGTGTTAGATGGGGTAACACTTTGTGCTAGAGAAGAGCATTATACTTGAAACTTGGATGTGCTAGATTTTAATGCATGTTGTGTGTTTAGGTAAAAATGAAATTTGTCCCCTTCTGTATACCCTTCCTGTTTTGTTCCTTAGAACAAAACAATTCAGAGATGGGTAAAGGAAGGAATTTTATTTTAAACCTAGCAGTGGTTCGCACTTCAATTCTTTACCCCTTGCTTCAAGTATTGATAGTCTATCACTGATGTGAAAGATCTGGGGAAACATATTTCTTTTACTGTTGAAATTCAGGTAGTGGTAAGTTAAAGTGGGTTTGTTTTAAGAAAGCCAGATTGATTGCTGAGAGAGGCTGCTAAGAGCTGTTAGGATTTGTTTATTTTGTTGTCTAAATGGAGTAGTCACTGCTGCAAGCACAGACTTCTACTAGAAAAAGGCACAAACATTATTGCCATTTATGCAAAGCACACTTTAGAGAGAGGCCATGGCAGGATCATAGATTTTAGCAAGGCACTGATTTCAGTCAGTGCATGCAGCATATTATTTAGCAAATGGGAAGAGCTTTAGCTTTATCTATATTCATAGATCTTTAGAAAATTATTCTAAAAAAACCCCTAAACCAGACACTTGCAAACTGTTTCCTGGAAGGTGATAATCATTCAGGTTTGGGAACAATTACACAAAAAAATCTGCTTGAGAAGGACTCCTATTTATAATTTCTACCTCAAGCTATTAGATAGTATGCTGAATCCTTGCTCCCTTAACAGTAATTTCCTTTTTTTGAGTCAAATAAGGTGAATCTGACTTCTTAATCAGTGCTGCTGCTTAGCTTTCAATGCATGCAAATGCATTATGTTATAGAGCTGTGTGTTTACAAAAAAAATCATATTTGCTGTATGGGAGAGGAACAACTTCTTAGTATAATCTCCCCATGGAAAGTAGTAATTTGTTGTTCAGAAATGTTTCAGTTAAAAATAGAAATTATGTGCTACTATTCTTATTCTCAGCCAAGACTAATATCAGTGTTGTTTATTTATATCTTGAGAACCTATGATGTATTTCCATCTTGCATAGAAAATAGCTTCATTTATTTAAAAAATAACTTTTTATGCCTATTGTATAATAGGCAAATATTTGCATAAAAGCTGTGAGAGTCCTAGTATGAAACACGGGTATTTGACCATTGTAGATGATCAACTTCAGTCATTAATACACAGAGCTATTTCACTCATTCATGTAATATCTGTGGACTAGGAAAAAATCAATATTACCAGCATTAACCACAAGATGGCCACATTTACATAGGATTTGGGAAAACTGAATCCTTCCATTTCTATCTGGATGGCTACACCACAGAGATCCGTGAAGTATTTTTGAAGGAATTGAAGTGCAAAGAGGACTATAAAGTTACAACTTATAATTTAATAGCTGCTACATTTGAGGTGTTATTAGTTTTCTTTTGAGAACTTGTATCATTACAATGGAAACATTAACTGCAGGAGAAGCATTCAGAAAGGATTAAAGTTGTGATCTCAGAGTTCCTTTCTGAGTACTGGCAAATTCATGGTAAGCAGTTGAAAACATAAGGTGCCAGCAATTTAATTCCTGTTAAAGGTTACTCACATGCTTCCCCATTTCTGTTTCATTGTTTTTTTGATTGTGGATTTTTGTTTCCGACAGCCTTTTAATTTTTTTTTCAAAATTATGATTGGATTTGTGATTCCATTTAAAACTGATTGGCATTGAAAAAAGACTCTTTCAGTGAGAGTGTTTGCTACATCAGATCTTCTACTGCCATCACAGTAAAGCTACTGTGCTCCTGTTCTCTTATTTATTAATTTCTCTTCTTTTTATATATACTTACCTACTGGGTATCTGCTCTCATTTTGTGTTCTTCTGGCTGCCTATTCTGTTTCTTCAAGGTTGGAAGCTGATGGACTGTGCACTTTTTCATCTTTTTGCTGTCATTTAGGAGTTAGAGATCAGTTGAGCAGCCACAGACAATTTTATTTTCAGACAAATTAAAATGACTTAGCTATAGCTGAAATGTGATAAATGGTTGAGATGATTGGTTTGGGCTTGGGTTTTCAGGTGGATTTATTTTGCTTTATTTTGGTGTTTTTTGTTTGCTCTGGGGTTTTGGGGGTTATTATGGTTTTTTTGTTGTTTTGTTTGGTTTGTGTTTTGATTTTTTTTTTTTGTTTGGTTCTTTTTAGTAATAATTTTTATTGTTTGTAACATAGATTATGGTATGTCTAGTAGGGTATCCATTTTTACATAATCAGTAGACAAGTGACATCCCTTCAGTTTGTTATGTTTTGATTGGACTATTGTTCAAGGAAGCTATGTTTCTAGTTGCAGTTTACAAAGCAGTTGTACTTGAAATTTCCTCTTGATCCAAACAGAGAGTCTTCTAAGCTGTTTTTTTTTTTTGTTCTTTAGAAGACTTTGTCAGTGAAAGTCATCCTGCAGTGAAATCTTATCTGGACTCCATGCTATGTTTGAAGTGACACAGTATCTGTGTTTTTGTTTGTTTGCCTCCTACTCTGTTTTCATTCACTTTTATTTTATAATCTGTATCTCAGAGATGTGTGAAGCATCACAACTGTTTCTCTGTAAAACCCATTTTTATCATGTTTTAGAACACAGAGTACATGAGTGATAGAAATTCAACACGACTGCCTGATCAAATTACACTTTTCTTTGCCTGGGGGCATCTGTTGGTATGTCTAGATATTGCAGTGTGTTTGCTTAACAGTGCTAACAATTTTGTCTTTTCTGTTCGACTTATCTAGCTGGAAGGGCCATGTGTCCTGCAAATACAGAAAATTCGCAATGTTGCTGCACCAAAGGATAATGAAGAATCTCAGGCTGCTCCCAGAATGCTGCGTTTACAAATGACTGATGGACACACAAGCTGCACAGCTATAGAATACAGTAGCATGTCAAAAATAAGGTGAACAGCTTCCTTTTCCATGTTTTCCTTTGCTACTTAAATGTCCTTGAAATAATGGAAGTGTCCTTAGTAATTTATGAAAATACTGCTCCGCAAAAGAGGCTTCCTTTCTGGATTTGTATATAAAGGAGAAGTTTAAATTCATCATGCAAAGGTACATGTGAATGTAATTTACAGTTCTGTTTATGCTGAACTACATAACAGAAGAAAGTGGATTTTGCAGCCATCTACTGAGTTGTGGTTTCACAACACACAGCATTTTGGGGGCGTGTGTAAACTTGGGTCAAATTCCCAATTTTCAGTAGTAGCAGATCTTTTACCTTACCTTTGTAGCAGGAATGGCACAGGCTTGACACTCCTAACCCAGTGCAACTAATGCTGCTTAACCATGGGCAGGTCTTTAACTTGGATATTTCTTCAGTTAAAAGTGAAGGGTAAGAGAGGTGATTACTGCTGAACATGGGGGTGCTTTGTGTTTTTGTTTATGGAGCTACTGAAAGCAATCTCTGGTGTTTAGTCTGCAGAGTTATGGTGTGCTCTGCACTCTTCTAGTTCACGTAATTTTGGTTTAAAAAAAAACCCTTCTTCTGTCTTCCTTTGCTTGCTGCAGCAGGTAGATATAGATATAAACTCAATTTTTGAATGTCATCATTAAGAGTTAAACTGTTCCTTCTGAGCAGGAGCCAGCTTGCAGTTTAGAGTGATGCTGTCAAAACATTTAATGATATTTTAATTTTAGCTTGAGCCAGCAGAACTTGGAATATCATATTCCAATGCGAATATAAAGAAAGCAATAAAGGAAGGCAAACAGACTCTTGTGTAAGTAGATTCTAGATCACAAAATGTTTGAAGATAAATACCCAGTACAAGACATAATTTGAAAGCTTTTTGATAAAATCTCAAAGATGTTAGAGAACTCATTGCTCTAATAATGTTGTGAATGCTTGTTTTTACATAACATTTAAAGATTTAATTTGTGTTATATGATATTTTTTCAAGCCTGATGTTAGATTATTAAACTGTATTAATATTCTGTTTCAGTACATAATGTTACTTAAATAAAAATCACAATTTTCTTTTATATTATAGGTTTTTCATGACTGTAGTTTTCATTTATCCCTTTCCCCTTGACTCATTTTAATTTTTTTTCTGTATTTCTTTCATGTCTATTTTCTGTTGTCCATTTGTTTGCCTTCATCAGAACAATCCAAGCATCCATTAACATTGCTATGGTTAAATGGCACTGGTTCTGTAATTGGCTGTCTCCATTATGAATTTTCGTCACCGTGCGGCATGGGCCTGTGATTGCAACAGTAGCTCTAGCATATTTTAAAGAGATTGTTGTCCCTCAGTGGAAAGGTTTTAAGTGGCTGTGTCCGGTTTCTCACAAGAAGCAGTTTCCAGATTGCACTGCTTGTCATATCTTTCAATTACATGTTGGAAGTACATGATTCTTTTATGCTTCTGCTGTTGCTTTTCCTAGGATAGATTCACTTGAGAGGAGGATGAGGTGGCTCCATGTGGGAGCTGGTGACAGGAAGTATTCATATGTTTTAAAATTATAGAGTAGTGTGAGAAGAAGCACTACAAGATGCATGGTTTTATATTTATTCTAGTATACTCCTAGCTCTTAGTAATGTGTAGAAAGGTTCCTTTCTAGCCACTCTATGTGTCTACTAAGTTAAATGTCTAAAAAAAAAAAAATTGAGATGATTAACTATTTGGAAATCCACTCTTAACTGTAAATGTGAGGAGCCTGCCTCAAATCAGTTGTCTGAGAATATTAACTGATAATCAAAACAAATCATAAGCTTAGTTCAGTATTGTGAAATTAGATATTAACCAAATAGGCAATTTACCAGTATTTCTCTCTGTTAGAATCTAATTTGCAGTATGGCATTTTTGTATAATGGGTGGGAAGTGTTTCAATAAAGCTATTGAAAAGTACTGTGCTTTTTGATGCTAATTTTTTATTATGGCATATGAAAATGTTGGAGTTATAATAAGAGTAGTTTTTTATATATTTGTGACAGAATATTAATAAATCTATTTGAATTTTTTTACTTTGTTTCTACCTCTAGCCTGAACACTCCACCTGGAACAAAAATTAAGCTTTCAGGAATTGTTGAAGTGAGAAATGGATTCTTGCTGTTGGATGACAGTAACACAGCAGTTCTTGGAGGTGAAGTGGAGCATCTTATAGAAAAGTGGGAATTACAAAGGGTGAGGTAACACCACTAGAAATGCTTGTCTTACAAGTTGCATATTACATTCAGAAATGTCAAGCTTATTCTGTTGATTGTGAGCTTTTGTATAATAAACTTGTAGAACTGTACTGTCCAAATAGTTTTAGGGCTGTGGCCAAATGTATGCAAGTAGGTCTTACGTATAATGTTCCAAATTCAAAAATTACAAGTGATCTTTGCATGGGAACTGATTCGTTTCTGCAAGGATATATTAAATTTATGTTGCTAAAAGTCATGGGTGGTATTATGTTGGTAAATAGTCATGGCTTTCTTAAACATTGTGTTTGTTACCAAAATACTATGGAGTTCTGCCTTTTACAGTTACTGTCTGCAGACTGTGTCTTTTTGAGGAAAAATAATAGAATAAATGTACATAAAGCATTGAAGTTGGTAACATTTGGAATGAGCCCTGTACCCCAGATTTCATCAGTACTTTAGGTGAATTGTGGTTACAAAGTCAAATTGGAGATTTAAAATTCTTTCAACAAGGCATAAATATGTGTAAGCTTCTTTACTTTGGTTTCTATCCCAGCAGAACAAAAGTGGCTGCAGGAATATTTTTTGAAACATTTTCTCACAAACAGGTGGAAGTTCCTAGGGGCAGGATTTGTGACCCTACTACCATTAGTCCCAAATATTTGCCAGATTAACTATCACTACTACAGCCACGCACATCTCTGTATTTTTATATCCACATCTCTGAAACAGGGTAGCTGCTTATGGACATGATGGTTAGTTCCGTAGGAAGTACTCATTTTATTGTTGTTCCTGCTAAGTTGGGCTCAGTAATTTTTGTTAGAGCTAGCCTTCTTTGGTGTTTGATTGAACTTCATAATTTCCAGCAAACTGAACCAAAATTAATTTGAATTTTAGAGTCATGCATTCTAGTAGATTCTGTTTGTCATCCTTCAGCCTTTATAGCTAAAAATAAGGGGTTTTTTTTAAATGCAAAAGCATTCCTGGTTTTAAATGAAGCCTAAAGAAGCTTCTGGCAGAATCATCCCATTTCGTGATTTTTATTCTTACTTAGCTAGCTTTAAGTCTTGTGAGTTCTCTTTTCAGTTAAAGAAGGTAGATGGGGCAGAAGAGAGAACACAGAGCTAACACTTTCTTAAGAATTCACAAGACAAGAATAGAACTGGTTTGCTTTCTTGGTGATATTTTAAACAGTCTGTTTTCATATTTCTTCTACCTGGACTTCAACAGATAAATTTTGCTTTATGCTTCCTAATTGATTTCTGAAATCAGTGTCAATAAATAACTTGGAACAGATTCCTTTTACATAAATAAAAAAAGCCAAGCATTTAATAACAAAAGGTGTGCTGCTGACTACAGCTTTCAGCACTTGTTAGCCAGCTCTCTTGGCTGTATGCAGTATGTGTAACAGAGTGGTAGCTGTCGCTGATTTGCTCTGGTAAGATACAGAAAGTTAACTATTGCCTGCTGCTATCCCCGCAGTGCTCTGGTTCTCAAACTTTTGGAGTTTGCCAGAGTATTTTCTTTTTCTTGTTGACCAGCTCATAGCATATGAACGTGGCCATGTCAGAAAAGCTGTGGGTGACAAGGAATCAGTTTGGACAGGTGAACCATGACCACTGGAAACTGTAGTTCCAGTTCTATATCCAGACTGACAGCTAGACAGATAGGGCTCAAACAAATCTGTAGAAGCCAGATGCTACATGGTAGCAGTTTCCCTATGAACTTGATGCTTCAATCCTGTTCAGAAAGGTTTGTAGAAGAGTAGAGCTGACAAATAAATATAATTGCTAAAATATCTGAGAGGTGATAAGGACATTGCCACTCCTTGTCTAATCTTGTCATGGAAGCTTGAATAAAATGTTGAACTGTGTTTGCATAAAAAGACATGAAACTTTTATTTGTGTAACTATTTAAAATTACTTGTTTTGAAGCTACTTTTTAATTTTTGAGGGCAGTTTTATATTTTATCTCCGCTAGGAAGTCTAAGATGTGTAAATTTGGCTTCCTCTGTAGGTGATGAAATAAGGGGGTTTTATACTTAGCATAAAGTTAGTGTTATTATGCCAAATAGCATGAAACTTTAGAATAAAAGTTGTCTATTCTGTGTTAAGGTATTGCCCTTGCACCTACTTGTCAGCTTCTACTTGTTCAATTGTATTACTGTTTTGTTCCATTCAGAGCAGTGTTTGAAATTGCTTTCAGGAGGAATCAAGTTTTAGTAATAAAAGACTCATAATACAAAGTAGCATATGTGAAATGAATGCAGTATTATCACACTGCATGAGGAATAAATGTGCTCTTCCTTGTAGATTCAATTTTATCGTAAGGTAAATTCTTGCCAGGGAATTTCAGGTCATTTTAAGTGTCTCTATTTAAGAGACAGTAAATAAATAAGGAAGGAGTGTAAATGAGACTGTTACTGAGAGATTTGCCTTTCTAGACTGTTTGGAAGTATGAGGTGAAGCGTCATGGACATCTTTAAGAAAAAATACAGTTCCAAATAATTATTGCTTTGTGGTGTTGCTCATTGCTTTGTGATGTTCTGATGGTGACTGATGTTCCAAACATGAAGGATCATTATCTGTATGATGTTGCTGGTACCCTTCTTATGTAGGAAGAGTATTTTGTATTGCTATTAAACAAAACACCAGACAATATATAAGTGAAGTCTGAAGCAAATCTGCTGAGGTGATGGGTGAGACTGTTTGGTAGGGTCTTAAATTTTTAACACTTAGAGTTACAGTTCATGTAAAAGTAAAGCTGTTTAGTATGCTTCAAGATTTTTCTGTTTCGGTGAAGGTGAGGCTTAATACTGAGATTATGTCATGGGAAAAGGAAGTGGTTTTAGGTGTACTTCAAAATACATGTATAAAGAAAGGCAAAGGTACAATGGTACATAGTATCTAGCAATCCTATATTGTAAACATTAGTTTCTTAAGAGATTCTCTAGGAAATATATTTTTGGTGTCATGATGCAAGTAGAGCAAAAAAGGTAAAAGAAGTACACTATATGTATTTATAACAAAGTTTATTGTTAGTGATAGTTACTGCTGAGTTATGAGGAAATATAATTGTAAGTTACAAAAGATTGTGTGTGTTGCCAATTTGCTTTTCATTTGGTGCCATGTGAAACCTGGTTTTTAAAGCAGCTGCTCTCACTTCTCAGCAGAGAGTGCTCCTTGAGAAGAAGGTTTCAGATCATTAGAATTCTATCATTGTGGATAACAATTCTATGCAATAAATTGTTATGATTCAAAATTCATGTAGGTAACTGTTAGTAAATAGGCAGTCAGTTTATAAGGGCTTTTTTGCCATTTGTCCAATGGCACATTTGAGCAGTAGATTGGAACAGTCTTTTTTCTTCTATGTGATTTCTTGATTCTGATTTGGTATGATAAAAAAGAAAAAAGTGTAAATTCAGCTTGCTCTTCCTGATTATAGGACATGAGGAATTAATCCAATGCTTGAGTTCTTGGCTAGCCTATAATTATTTCTTTTAATTATAATTTGATTCAGTATGGGAGTTCATTCCAAAATTGCCTGCATTTCTCTAGGTACAACCAAGCAAACAAAGAGAAATGCCAGAGTGGTGCAGGGTTTATTGCACCTGGAGTGCCTGCTCTGGGGAAGTGAAGTGGCTTGGCCATGAAATCCTTGTTCTACGTGCTGCTTCAGTTAATAGCTACAGGGAGGTGTGAGCATGCTGCAGTCATCAGCCCTTGGTTAGCTCGTATTTCTAAGGCAGCATTTTAACTGAACTGGTTGAAACTAAAGCACAAAAATTTTATGATTTCTGCACTTCTAAGTGCTTTTTTGGAATAATTTATTGAATACTTGATCAGTGTTTTTTGCTCTAAGGTATGAGAAAAAGGATTATTCTTTTTCTTCAACCTTGAAAGGAATTAATAGCTATAAATGATTTAGAAAAAGTCTTTGGCTCCTGAATAAAAGTAGTTAACTTGAAAGGAGTAGACCAAAAGCTTTAATTTGGGTATGTATTAGCTAAATTAATCTATTACTTAGTTTAAGAAATTCTCAGATAACATAGTGGCCTAAAGCTTGTGTTTATACTCAATTTCTCACATGATGGATTTAAATAAATTCTACATCAGGTTAATAAATACATAGGTAAATGTCATATATAGCCTTAAGTAATTAAGGCTGTCTCTGACAACAGAGAATGTATGTAGTCATGCATGCATGTCTGTTGGGAGAAAAGGACAGGAACAAATTAAGCTGATAAAAGAAATACATTATAGGAAATGCAATTTTAACAGCATTGAGGACCTCTTCTTTTTGTTCTTAGTACACAGCATTTTGTTTCCAGCAGTGGCAAAAAGGAGATTGTTTTTAGGGAGAGATCACAGTCTGAGCACTTATATGGCCTTTCCATGCAGAATTACTGTATTATATCAGGGGATACAATTCTGATTAATCCTTTCTGTGTTTGCTTATGCATGGGATGATGAATTTCACATAATGGTTGAGGATGGAGGTCATCTGGTTAATGAAGGCCACCTACAGCCAATTGTCCATGACAGTGTCCTGGCAGCTTTTGAGTATCTCTAAGGATGGGGACTCCCCAGCCTCCCTGTCTCAGTCACTCTCACAGTCAAATAAGTGTTGTGTGATGGAGGGAATCTCCTGTGATTCAGTTTCTGTCCACTGTCTCTGTCATCTTACTGGGCACCACTGACAAGAGCTTGTCTCCATCATGCAGATTGATAAGTTCCCCCTGAACTTTCCCTTTCTAGGCTGAATTGGTCCAATCCCTTTTTAAAGGTGTTGTGTGCCTTTACAATCTCTACTGGCTGGAATTTCATTGGACATTGTATGAAAAATCATCTGCTGCCTAAATGTGTTGTGCTTTGTGCTATTAGTGTAGATTTTGATATATAACTGGATTTTCTACATGTGCTCTATGTGCCTTAGTAATTATGCAAAATTCCATAATTTTCTTTGTTCCTCTGCCTCTCCTCCAACCCTCTTCTTAACTTAGATGACCCAAGATTTAAAAATACGATTTTCTTTTCTGCTGAAAATACCCATTTTGCAAGTTTCATGTTCTTTCTGAAATAGAGACATTTATCATATAATCTGTTTTCTGCTTGCAATTTATTCATTACCAATTTTCTTTTACAGAGTTTGGCAAAACACAATAGGAGTAACATTGGAACAGAAGGTGGCCCTCCTCCTTTTGTACCTTTTGGGCAGGTATAGTGTATCTCTCTTTGTTGCTTCATAAAAGTACCTGTATTATGATATCTATGTACCTTGTGCGAGTTAGGTAAAGGCTGTCAAAACACCTTAGATCTTGATAACCTGGATATAAAAAATGTGCCTGTTAAAAAACAAAACCAAAACTGTGTTAATCCTGTCTCTTTGTTGTGCCCATTTCCAGTAACATTTTTCCTCTCAATTTCAAACTTAACTTTATTTAGTGTATGGAGCCTTTGATTTTGCTAGTGAGATTGTGTCAGCACTTATGCAGTGTCTCCTTAAATGCCAAACAACTTGGCAACGATCAGCAAATTTCCAAGAATCATTGTGATTGCATCATGATGTCTAGTTACATGATCGTATTCCTTATCTGAGGGTCTGCTACTCTAATGGAATAAAACTTGGGTGGGTGTTTTTCAGATAAGAGCAGGCAGAAGAATAATTAAACATTTCTTTTGTATTTTCAGAAATGTGCATCATATGTGCAAGTGGATAGCAGAGATCTTGATCGCAGAAAGACTCTGCAAATGACAAATACTGTAAAACCTGTTGCGGACAATGATGAATTTGAAAAGCAGAGAACAGCTGCTATAGCAGAAGTAGCAAAGAGCAAAGAGGTTAGAATGCATGTGTTGCAGCATTTTACTTACTGTGATTGATCTTTTCTTGTCAGGTATTTGTCTCTTAAACGACAAATGCTTTCTGATATTTGCCTGTGTATAATTCTCCCCCTGTATCTTTAAAAAGATGAATCAGACTTAGAGTCCTTTTCAATTGATGACTATGTTCTTATTTTAATAAAGGTACTAAATGTATCATAATGTTTTATTGTAGATATGATTTTGCTACCACTACTAAAAAATGAGGGGTGTACAATTTTGCTAATAAGATTTAAGCAATAAATGCGGGTTATCAATTTTCATCTGTTCTTTTTAATCCTCAAGCCCCCCATAATTTACTAAACTCAGTCTGCAAAAATAGCCAGGAAATTTAGTTCTAATGTGTCAGGTTTTTATGTTCTCCCTTGGTCTTCTTTTTAGTTTATTTCTCAAAGTGCTTAGTAAGTTGTAACAGCTAGAATTACATACCCATTTTACAACCTCATTTGGGCACAGGGGAAAAAACTCCTGACTAATAAATTAATCTTTTTCTCTGTGTATGTAAATTAGTGCTTTATTTGTTGACCCAGACCATAATCAAAAAACTCAAAAAACCCACTGCAGCAAAAGTTTCTGCTTTTTCTACTAGCTAAATATTTTCGTTATTTCTGTTTGCTGAAATGTTATTTTGTGCTTATCTAAAGACCAAGACATTTGGAGGAGGTGGTGGTAGTAGCAGAAGCAATCTCAGTGTGAGTGCTGGAGGGAATCGAAACAGGGAACTGTTCCAGAAAGAGAAGATAGCAAAACCAGAGGGGAAGAATGAAGGTGTCTACCGAGAACTGGTAAGATGGAAGACTTGAATGGAGTCTTGAATGTGTAAGATTAAAAACAAAACCCCAAATATAACAAGAAAAAAATCAAAATACCTTGAGGAATGATAACTTTCCTTTCAATTAGTTTTCAGGTCTGCTTAGAATACTCATTGTGCTTTTGTACCTTACTGAGATAGCTATGAGTTTCACTGTGATTCTGGGCTAAACATTTATTCAGTAAAATTTAAGTATGTATCTCAGAGGTTAGATTCCATTAGGCTTGGGATTTTGTGGGTTTTTTTGTAGGGTCTTGATATGGCTGTTTTTAAACCTACAGACAGAGTGTTATGTTCATGGGGTTCCAGTTAAGAATGTTTTTGATGGCAGCTGTTGAAGTAAATGGGTAACTGGTATGATTTTGGTGCAGGTGCAATGTTATTTTCTGTACTTAATGCTTTTTGATTCCTGTTTTGACTTTTTGTCATCATGCTCTATGCAGTTTGGAATAACGGAGCCTGCATTTCTGCACAAGTAAATTGTTTGCATTTCTTTTCTTTCTTCTGTAAAACCTTTAGCCAATTATGTTTTATCCATATTTTAAGAAGTAAGTGGGTTTTGTGTTGTCTGCAAAAGCTTTGAAGGGGTTCAAATTGGAACAGATGGCTAGTTTTGATGCCCATATTATTTTGAGATATTTCTTTTAGTTTTCATAGAGACTAGGAGAATTTGTGCTTGAAGGCCTGTAGTAGTAGAACTGGAAACTAATGAATTTAAAATCATACTATTAAAAAAAAAATCCCTTGATTACCTGCTTCTTTTGAGCTTATATGCAGAGGTTTTATACAAAACTAAAATATTGTTTCAATTAAAAATAAAAGAAAAATTAATGTAAAATCTGGTGTGTTTATAGAGTGTTGTATTTATTATTTTTGTTTGTACCTTTTATTTCAGGTTGATGAAAAGGCTCTAAAACACATAACAGAGATGGGTTTTAGCAAAGAAGCAGCAAGACAGGCACTTATGGATAACAGTAACAGCCTGGAGGCAGCATTAAATTTTCTTCTGAACAACAGTAAACAGAAACCCATTCAGGGACCACCACCTAGAGGTAAATCTTGCAAAGAGATGCTTTGAAACTATTTACAATCCAAAAAAATTTGTGTAGGGTGGATTACTAATGTAGTAATAGAAGGGCATATTTGCATGTTTTCTTCCTGCAGGTTAGAATGCATTGCAAACCTGAAAGCAAATCCCTAAGAAAGACTTCTGTGTATTACATTCTTGTCAGAATTTTTGAGTTGGAAGTCAGATGTTTAATTAGCTTTAAATGGGAAATGTGTATCCTAGAATCACAGAAGAACATGAGTTGGAAGGGACATTAAAGATCATCTTATTCCACCTCCCCCACACCCAGCTCCCAGACAGAGAGGCCACCCACTACACCAGGTTGCTCAGGGCCCCATCCAATGTGGCCTTGAACACTTCAAGGACAGCATCCGCTGCTTCTCTGGACAACCTGTTCCAGTGCCTCATCACCCTCATAGTAAAGAATTTTTTCATCACATCCAATCTAAATCTCTCCAGTTTGTAGTTTAAAATTGTTCTCCCTTGTCCTATCACTGCCTTTCTGTTACAGAACTTTTTAAAGACAGAAAATACAAACATTTTGTAAAGCAAATGAAGGCATGTTTGTGCTTTTTAATTTTTATTGTCCATTCTTAAAAAGCCTTTCATGCTTACAGGTAAGGGGAAGGGCCGAGGCCGAATAAGACCTGAAGATGAAGAAGAGCTAGGAAATGCCAGACCATCTGCACCAAGCACACTGTTTGATTTCTTGGAATCCAAAATGGGTACTCTAACAGTAGAGGGTGAGTTACTGAAATTAATGTATCTAGAACAAATGTTGGATAGTGTAGATTTAGTCAACTTTAGTCATCCAAAAGTTGATTCCTAGAACTTCCTCCATGGTCAGTCATTAAAAAAACAAAGAGTGCTTGGAGAATTATTCCTCTCAAAAAAGGCCAAATAAATTGCTCAGTAGTGATTAGACGTTTAAAAGTCGGTAACTTGAAATGAGATGACATAAACCACAATTTGTTAATTGGACTGGATTCTTCCTGAATCGTGAATCTTTATTTATGACATCATAAGTCTTCACTGTATTTATCAAAAATCAAAATATTCAAATAAGTAACTTTTAAATACACCAGCATTCTGCATTAGCTGGTGCAGTTTTGTAAGCTGGTCAAGTAGTGAATATAACCACATTTTCAGAAAGAAGATATTTGAGATATTTCTTGGCAACTCATTTTACTTACCAAAGATGCACTGGATTTCTTACAATGAGCAGAAATGAAAACAGTGGTAGTGTTTTTGGCTTACACTGCAAACATTGATTTTGCTTTGGATGCATTTTGTGCTTATATTGAGATATTACAGAAGGCTTTTATGTTTGTCTGAAAGACATTTAAAGGAAAATAAAAGAAATAATCCCTGAGGGTTATAAAAATTTCTTATCGCCAGTGTTTTATAGTAAGTAGGTAATAGTAGTTTATCAAGACTTGTGAAATGAGTGAATTGCTTTTTTAAAGTGATAGTACTGATTGCTTAGGGATACTTATGATCCTTTGGTTTTAGTGCATGTATGTAGACAATAAAGCATAGTGTTATGTGAGTAAAAAGCCAGATATATTTATTACATTTACTTCAGTTTATAATCTTCAATATTGTGTTTTAAAGATAAATACACATCACTTTTATGAGTTTTTTTTCTTCTTAAATGAAAATAAATGATTGCATAAATGTCATAAGAAGAAAAAAATAATTCTGTTAAAACTTTTTAAAGGTTTTATATTCCTTGAGTTACTGAAGGTTCTGCCATATTTCCTGCCATGACACACAGGGTTTTTATTTTTATGGTTTTATCACTATGTTGGTTTTTCTCACTTCATCTGAGTAATCAATATGTAATCCAGTGTACTATTCCTGAACCATACTTTCCTTAAAAAATCCAAACCTAACTTGTTAGCACTTTTGAAGAGTTCAGAAAGTGTTGTGATTATTTTGTGAAATTCTTTTCAATCTTTCTGCCTTTTTTTCTTTTCTGAAAAAAATAGATGTTGTACTTCGTAAGGCTTTGAAGTGGTTGCTTAGTTTCATGTTCTTAGCTTTTATTTTCCTTACTGAGTATAGCCCATAGGATTGCATCTCTGTTTTTATGCCAGGTTTTAGTTTTGCTTTCAGAGTCTTTTAAATGGATATTTCAAGAAATACATAGGCATATGTTTTCTTTTTTTTTTACTTTCAAAAGTGATTTTTTTACTTGCCAAATTGGAGAAAAACTCTGCAGTCTGACGAATTCAAACACATCCTTAAAATCATATATTAAAAGTTAATTTTCTGCCATTTTATTTCCTGTGCCTTTGAAAATCATTTCAGTTAAATTCTTAATTATTAGTTGTCTGAAGTTCCACTCAAACTGAGATGACAGGAGTTTTAGAAGTATTTGCTGAGTGATCTGTCTGCAGTGACCATACTTAGCACTGTGAACTCTTCAGTTATGAAGTCTGCATCCAAATGTCTGCAGAAAACAGGAGATATATATATATATATATGTATGTATGTATATATATAGTACCTCCTATATATATGTATATATATATATAGTACCTCCTAAATTTAATTTGATCCTGTCATCCATGAGCAGTAGAGAAACATATTTTCACTTAGAATTAGAAAAGTATTTGGTCAGAATTGAAATGCACATTGGACAAACTGATGGAAACAACTCAAATATGTAATGTTACAAAGCCAATAATGTCTCTTCATTGATTTTCCTGCACAGTATTACACTAAGGAGTGCTCAGGCTGGCAGGTTTTTCTCCGTTTTTATTCACCAAACACTGTATTATACCACATATAAAAGAAGATAGATAGATAGATAGATTGTTCTGCAGTATTTCTGGCACCTTGCTGTCCTGCGTGGTCTCTAAAATCTCATATTGTTTTTTAGGTATTGAGAAAGAAAGGGGGTTTTATAGGGACAGTGGTTTTGAATATATGAGCAAGTCCCTACTATTACATGTTTGTGTATGATCAGGAGCAGATGATTACCTGGAATGGCCATATTTATCTTTATTGCAAGCATTAAAGTCCTATACACTTGAGACAGAGTGTAATTCCTTCTAAATGACTGGAAGTCGTTGTACAATCCAAAAAGCAAAAGGCAGTTTTGCTGAACTGTTTTTTAATATTTTTTAATCCTGTACTATGCCACATTTTCTTCAAAATCTTATGTGATCTGGGGAAGGTGTCTGAAAAAAATTAGTTTCTCTTTTCAAGTACACAGAAGATTGATTTGCTTTGTGCATCCCTCCTTGTTTTTCTTACCTACTGTTTCTAATTACACCTGAAACCTTAGTAGTGTGGAGAGTTTCTAAATTCACTTCTATTTCTGAACAGGAACTTCAGAACTGTTGTTGAATTTTTTTCTTTGATTTTGTACTTTTTCATACTTGCATTTAGACCAAGTAGAAAAACAATTATGAGTTGAAATACCTTTGTGTTTTTTTAGGAGGTACTTGTATTCCTTTTAAAAGTGAAGGCAGCACATTAAGTTTCTTGTGTTTGCTTTTTTTTCAAAGAAGTTACAAGAAAGCGTGTTGGTGTTTTGCCCCATAAATTATATCTTGTGATGTTTTTATGTTTTATCTCCTCTTTTCCATTAAGGAAATATTGTTTTAAGTAATTACAGCTATCAAAAGTATTAAATAGCTGGCTCCATGATCTGCTAGCTCTTTAATTGTAAAACACAGCATACTATAAACATACTTTATTTAAATGAAATGCAAAGAATTAAAACAAACTTATCCTTAACTTTAAACTGCATGTTTATTTATTTATTTATTTATTACTGTGAATAGTTGGTGGCACCTACAAAAGTATTTCTGTGTTGAAATGAAGTAATTTGAATTTTGGCAAGAGAAACCTCCTGACTGCAAGAGATAACACAAGTAGAAGACAAAATTGCTTTCAATTAGCTGCCTGTGCTTGTACTTGGCTAATTTTTGCTACTGAACACAAAAGATTTTTTCCATTAATCTCCTTATTGTTTTCTTTTGTTATGAGGAACAACTCATCTATCTTTGCCAGCTTAAATAAGTAAACACAAGGATTATCAGAGAGAATAAGATGATACCAAGAGCACTGGCTATAGTATTAATGAATAATGAACATTATTCTTTATCTAGTCCCAAATAAATTAAACGTTTGAAATAACTTGGTAATGCAATGCAATGTAATTAAAAATATTTGTTTCATTTTGTGGTCACACCATTTATTTGAATATCTGGGAGTGAGGGTGCTTTGCGGGGAAAAAAAGAGTCTTACTTTTTGGAATTAAAATAAATTTGTAACATTTGAAATCTGCCATGTAGTAGCCATGTTTTCAACAAGCACTGAATGCTATGGACAAGAGATCCAAATTGAATAATAGCCATATTTCTTATTCAGCCTTTCTTCTAAAAATTGAACCTTAGAGCTAATTGTGACTATCAAGAAAATCACTTTTATTTGCTGTATTGGTATGTTAGCATTGATGATATATGTTACAAGGCTTGTACTTTTATTTTATCTTTAAATGTAAAAGGGACAAATACAGTACATTTCATACATTTTAAAGAATAATAAAAAATTATCAGTGTTTTGTTAGAGTCCTTTAATCCAGTTAGTTAAAGTTTGTAGTGAATACAATGCAAAATGTTTTGGATTTTTTTGTTCACTTCTTTATTATACCTCTTCTCAGCTTGTATTTGGTTTGTTTCAACAGAAATATGCACTCAGGTCCCTGTTCCTCAGTGTTGCTACATTTTAGAAAGAATTATATTGAAATTGATTTAATTTGACAAAGCTATTGGGTAACAGGAATTTTACTTCATGACACGAAGTGTGTGCAAATGTATCACTAATTATCTTCGAATTTTTAAATCTTTTGATCAGTATGAGATAGAACATGCCCTAGAGGTAGCTGTCTCAAAGATATACTTCCATACAGTTACACAAAAGTATTATTGAGTCTGAGAGGAGAAACCCAAAACATTGCCAGCAGTGTGCAAGGGCCACGCTCATCGAATTTAGCTGCGTTATTAAACATGATAAAATCCACAGGAGAGGACCACAGGAAGCAGTACTTTTTAAATTCCATTGTGCATTGAGCAGTGCTTTATGAATTGTGTTGGCTGGGATTTCCAAGTGCAGCAGGTCCTGCTGGTTCCTTGTAATCAGGGAAATGTGATTGGTCCTGTAGGATCCTCTTGCGTCAGTCATCACACGCAAAGGCCAGAGTGAGTGAGTGAGGGTTCCAGGCTGACAAATGCTACTTGTCATCTCAGAACTTCCGAGTAGATGACAAGAACCTTATCTTTAATTTTTACATGTATTTCTTCCAGACCATGTTCCCAAACCTCTGGTTGCAACAATGATGACTGGATTAACCTATCCTGCTGTTGGAGAGTAGCTTACTACATCTTCTTGTTACATGGCAAATTAATATTTGTTATAGCCCTGTAGGAGGCATTACTTTTCTGGGAACAGTTGCTAATGGTTTGTTGGAGTTGAGGCAGGAAGTAGAAGCAGTTGTGGTAGACAACTTGTGAATGAGATCCCTTGATGCTTTTTTTTGATCCTTATTTCTCATAAAGAAACTTTAGAATCCCTTCATTTTTTGGTGATCGGACCAGACAGCACAAATAGATGAAGAACCAGTATTATTATCATCTCCTGGCTTTTTTTGTTGGCTACTGTTGACAAAGTAACATTTACTGCTACTTGGCAGTTTCCATTTTCAAGTAACTTGTGCTTGAATGTCAATCAATCAGTTAATGTGTCCTGCTCATTTAAGGCTGCTGTGTATGATGCAGTCCCCAGGAAAGCTTTTGCACAAGAACTGTGCCTCTGTAAAAAACATAAACTTATGGGATTTTGCATACCTTATGCTTAAACTAAAAAAAGTCAGGTGTTTCATGTCAGCCTTTGTATGCCACAGTAAAGAGACCTAGAAAAAAATAACCACGTTCACTGTTTTGAAATTCTCTAGTCACTTTACCTGCAGTCTAACACATAGTATTATTTGAACTTTCCATTACTATTAAAAAAAAAAAATCTGTAATCAAAGGATGCACCACACTTTCAAATTAGCTTGTTGTTTTTTATGTGTTATGATCACATTATCTCGTGTAGACAAAAGCTAAAATTACTCATTAGAAGTTACGAAATTGAATAGAAATTTCAGTAAACTCTTTTGAATTATAGAAGAATATATCTATGTTCTGAGTTTTCCTTGAGGCTTTAACTAAACTGTAACTGCTTTGCATGCATTTTTGTAGAGTCCTTGTACCTTGTATGTACTAAGAACTGTCACTACCTGTCTCAGCTCAGGAAATGTTTATTTATTTAGAAAAAGAGCAAAGGAGAGCCTTTAAGAGGAAATGTTTTGAGTTTAAGTCAAACCTAATATCCTGCCATCTAGGAAAATATTACCATGTCCAATCTAGTAATAAACCCATTCCTGTTTTTTTTTTTCTGTTGAAACATTGACTTTAAATTAATGTTACAGAGTATTAAATAAGATGATTTATAAGTGAATTAGGTTAGAGTTTTATATGCATTTTTCTGTAATGGTGTGTACAAGGGAGTAAACATTCAGGGGTCGTCGAACTGTTCAGTCATTTTGTGTGTAATTAACATTAGGAATTGACCTAAGAGCTTAGGTTGGGCATAGGAAGAGTGGAAGCCTGAGCATTTTACTACCAGGAGAGAAGAGGTATAAATTAAGAATGTTGTGAACAAAGACTGTTAATTAATTAATTAATTTGGAAGTTAACTCTTTCGAGATGATAGGAAGTGTGTAAGATTGGTATTATACAGAAGTGGAAAAGTGTAATGAAGCTATTTAGTGAAAAGTTACAGATGTAAAGAAAAACAGTACTTTCATGTCTCATTTGTAAAGAAGAAATAAAGAGGTACTTCTAATTTTAAAGGTGTTATTCTAACAAAACAAAAATAATTATACAAGATTTAAAGTCATCTTTGCATTTTTAAAAAGAAAATGCATATTTATGAAACTCTTGTTTCTGAGTAGTATTTACATTTAATGCATTAAAAATGTGGTGGTTTTCAGAGTACTATATTATAGAGTAAGATGTATTTTTACTAAGATCATGTTCAAGCTAAGCCCTATATTTGCTTATGCCATGTTAAAAACCAAAAACACTAGGTAATTTTAGTAAAGCAAATGTGACTTCTATAAGTTATGCTACATCAAATATATGTAAAAATTGAGCTAGATTCTTATTGGCCAATTTAGTAAATTAAATTGATAAAATTCTGTGAGCTACTACTAATCATGTGATGCTTGAAAAGTTTTTTATTAAAAAATAAACCAGGTAAAATTTACATTTTAATTTTAACTTGCCATCTTGCATGTAGTTATGAAAGTTGATACATTTGCTGTCAGCTATCAGCGTTCATTGTTTCTAGTGGTAACATTCCTTTCCATGGGAATGTGTGAGGGCCTGACTGCACAGTCCCGCCAGGCCCATGCACACACCAGGCTCATGGACACAAGCAAGAAAATAACACCTTTGCAGCTGCCCACATGGCACAAAATTGCTCGTGTAAACATGAGTCCCTTTAATAGGTTAATGTTTTCCTTTTCCATCAGCTTTAAAGTCTGCTGGCAGATCTCATACCTAGCCACCAACACACACACACCCCCATGTCGGTCTGTCCTGGCCAGGAGAGCCCTGACCTGTGGTACCCACTTCACCTCTGGCCCAGCCTGTTGGCTGCTACAGCCTGGAGCTGGTAGGAGGTTACATGGATGTGCTTTGTACAGCTCTGGCCACCGTGTGAGCTCAGACCTGGGGTCTCCTGGCAGATGGCCTTTGAGACCCCATTGGTCTCTCCAGTGTGCATGATCTCTCTCACTGTTCCTTGTCACAGCTACCAGCTTATCCTACCTCAAATTTGCCAGTTTAAAAACATGTCCCCTCACATACACAACAGAGAATTTAGAAAGAGAATTTAATAAGGAGATGAGACAGGTTACAGTGATCACATGCAGGACTGTATTGACCAGGAACCTACTTATTTGCAGCTCTCCTGTTTAATCTCATTTCTTCTGTATTTTACCCTGGGTTTATCTTCATTTCTCCCCTCCTTTTGCTCTTCACCTAAACAACCCCATTAAAAATTTCATGTTTGCCTAAAAAGCTCATAATTCCCTAAAAAGTTCCACAGATATCCACGGTTCCCTTCCTCTCCAGCTGGCTATAGCATGTTTCCTCTCTTTGCTTATATTCATGATAATCTTGTCTTTATTCTCATCAGTTAAGAGTTCTGGTTGAAGCTCTTAAAGGTGGTGCTTGAGAAGGTCCTGTTATGGCTCACTGATCAGAGTCTCCAGAGTCCTGGGCTTTGCTACTATTCCTGTTACCTACATTTTGCCAGCTCTGTTCATTTTATCACTTCATATTCTTGCCTTTTCTCTTTTTTCTTAAATAACTGTTAACAAGGTATTTTTGCAGAAAGTTTCAATTCAGATTAGAGGTATTTCCTTTTCCTCCTCATTTTCCTCTCTCCTTCTTTCTCCACCTTGGAATTCTGTTTTTCTGTCTTAAAGGGCTCTTACTCAGGTGGGTTGTTGATGTCCATAGGGAGGAACGAGTTGTCTCCTGGAAATTTATGCCTGGCTTTTCTCTTGCTCATAGGTGTTTTGGTTCTAAGTACAGCCCAGAGTACTGTAATTCTGGGCTGTACTTAGAACCGAATTCTGATAATTAGGAATTGCAGTTCAAATGTGTCTGGTAAATTCTCTGGTGTGTACCATTCCATTTCCTGTTGCTTTATCTCATTTAAGGCTGCTGTGTATGAAGTCTGAAACAGTATTTCTAAAATGTATTTGTGTGAAATATGTTAATTGAAATAATTTTTTTCTTTGTAGAACCAAAATTGCAATTTCAGCCAACACATCAAGTACAGCACAAAGTTATGAATACAGAACAGAATGGCATCAAAGAGAATCATTCAAGACACATTTCTCGCAATGACATGAGACAACCAAGGAATGAGAAACCCCCTCGTTTTCAAAAGGATTTTCAGAATTCAAGGCAGGCTTTGGAAGGTGGTGGGTTGCCAAGAAACAGAGGTCCTGAAAGGCACAGCTCTTTAGAACACTGGACAGATGAAAAAAATAAAAGTGACAGACATTATCCTAGAAATGACAGGTCAAAGGATTTGGGTTATCCCATAACCACTCACCAGAGTGATATTACTTTCAAAAAAAGGGATAACAACATGCAAAACAGAGTAGGAAAAGGAGTGTCTTTCTCAGAATTCAAGGAAAATTCTGCTGCTCAAGATGTGACAGACAACAATAACCAGAAACGTGGGAAAAGGGAAAACCAAACACACAATTCAGAAAATTTTTGTGATAGGAAGGCACGAACAATAAGTAATGAAGCCTTTATGGTAAAACGTGAGCAACATTTTGGTGTTAATAATGATTACCAAAATCCAAGTAGGACTGATAATTTCAGTGCTGTACCAAATGGAGATACTGAGCATCATCAGAAAGGAAGACGAGTAGGACCTATCAAATCGTCAGGACCCACTGTGATCCCATCTTTTGATGATAAAATGTTTTATTACAACACTGGCCCCAAAAAGAGAACTGGGCCCATCAAACCAGAGAAAATACTGGAACCATCGAGTCACATGGAGTATGGAAAAAGTTGGAGACCAGGGGATGAATGCTTTGCTCTTTATTGGGAAGACAACAAGGTATGCCTTTGCTAAATGAGAACTATCTCAAATTGTACCTCTAATGCTCTCTTCCGTGTGTGTGGGAGATACTGAGCACACTACCACTGGGACATGGCCTTTGTTCATAGGTGTGCCGTGTGCTTCTTGCCTAGCTCCGTGCTCTGTTTTTTATATTTATGATGTATGTCAGTTGCATTCACTGCACAAAATTTTCAAGTCCCTAAATCAAGTCCTTGTTTCTGTCATGTACATGGAGTTTAGGTTATCTTAAGTTCCTTACTGAAGCATTTGACTTAAGTGCCGAAAATTTGAAGGGATGAATGTGGATCTAGGTGCTCATATTCTTTGCTGAGGAACAAAAACAAAACAAAACTGTGCTATCTAGAATATCTATAATGGTAGATGTGTAATACCTTTTTCTGGAACAAGTCAGCAGACAAAGAAAGAATAAAGTCTGCAGGAATGGGGCTGTAAAAAGCCTGCCAGTTTTCTTTCAATCGTTACAGAACAGAAACAGCAAAAGGCTTAATTTTGTTTAGCTCTTGTATACTATCAGGTAAAGAATTTGTGGACAAATTAATTATGCTGCATGATAGATTTGTATTACTGATTTTTAAAAGTTTAAATACTTTATTTTCAGCTCTTTTCCCCATTAATGAGATTTCTCTTGCAGGAGGACATTTTGCTTTCTTCTCCTTTGCTAAGAAAGTTTTAGGCTGTTGTCTTTGATTTGTCATCGCCTGTTCAAGAGTTGTCTGCCACTCTTCATTGGTAGTTTCTTTGGGTTTTACCCCTTTCTGATAATCTGAGAACTACCTTAAATATTGTTGTTCTTTAAGTACATTTTATTCACACCTTTTTCTGCTTTTTAAGATTTTTTTAAAGTTTATTATATTTATTATAAATGTTTTCTTTTTTTTTTTTTTTTTTGTCTGCATTAACTCAGTAGCATAACTTTATTTTTCTCTTTTCTGCTGGTATGACTAAAACCAACAATAAACCATGCAGGATTTTTGGTAGTGGCAACCTGTAGTCAGTTGACTGCCTTAAATGGGAATATGTAGCTTGAGTGGATGGATTAGTGTGAAGTATAATGGCACATTACTGAATTGTTTCCTATTTTCAGAGTACTTGCATTACTCTGAAATGAGATCTTGAAGTTTATAAAAGTGCAAACCTTGCAAGATAAATACTTATGTCGTAATCCCAGACTGTTACGTATTCAGCAGATTAGAAGGTGTGTTTTGGGCAGTAATTGGTTTCTTGATAGTTTAAGTAAATGCTACTACTCACTTCTAAGACATGTGATGATAAAATACAGTACTGAGCCTTACCATTTAGGAGGCTGTGATTTTTTTTGTGTTCAGTCAGATAAAATTGATTTAATATGTTCAAGAAAGTATATTTGCATAAATGTAAAAAGCCCAAGTTTTGTGTTTAGAAAAAGGACTTTATGAGGAGGCAGTTTTATCATATTTTCATCATATTTTTATCATGTTTTATTGTGTGATAACATAGGTGTGCAAGTACACACATACAAGCCATATCAGTATATGGCTAATAAGTACTTACAGATGTATATTTTAAGTAAACATCTTACAATAGCATTTCTCTGTATACAGCAGTATTTGTGTTAGTGATTAATTTGTTCTGCTTTCAGGGAGATGAAAATGGGTCTTTTAAATGGTCAGTCTACTTAAATAAGCTGTGTATCTTCTCAATGAATACTCTAAAAATGTTCTGCCATGTCCTTGGGGTCTGACATGTGGAATTTTAAGATACCCGATTTCATATCTAGTACAAATTTAAAACAAAATATAATGCTGACTATGACTAAGTATGTATACACATACAGAGACATATATGAAAAGGAAGTTGTTAAGAATTTGTGGTATTTCTGGTTGTATTTTGTGACCTTTGAAAATTTCTCTTTTAAGTTCTACCGGGCAGAAATTGAAGCTCTCCATTCTTCTGGGACAACTGCAGTTGTTAAATTCAGTGATTATGGAAATTATGAAGAGGTGCTTCTCAGCAACATCAGGCCTGTTCATGCAGACACATGGGTATGTGATAACAAATTGTATTAAAAAATACCAACTACGTAGTCTGTACAAAATATGTAACTCTTAACTAATTAATGCCTACTCACGCAAAGAATGCTACCTACATGTGTAGAAAAAGTTGCAAAGTACACGCACAAAATCTCTGATTTTACTTGTCTATATGAAACCTGATAGACATGTATTACGATGTGGTATTCTTCCTGTATAATAAATTTCAATTGTATTGTTTGAAAATGAATAATTGATCTGTCAACCAAACAGTTTTATGCATGTTTTCTCTCTTAAAAGTTGTTACTTACTCTATTCAACCCAATTTTTTGTTTTATTTCATGTACATTGTATGTTGTTCTGTAAGGGTTAGGAAACAGTCATTTAAAACATACGTTCTGAAGCTTTTCACTACATGTGTATGTATGACTAAAAATACACATCTGTATCCCTTTATTTTGTATCATGATTTTATTCTTGTTTCAATGATTTCTTCTTTGACAAATATTGTAGTGGTCATGTATGCATCAAAATCTGTTTTATGAAGTTTAGAATGTATTATCCTTATGGAAGTTGGAAATTTTAAAAGGCTTTATTAGTGAATATCATGGAAGCAGAGATACATTTCAATTAAAACAAATGTCAGGAATGCACAATTCTTTGCTGTTTACTCTTACTATAAAAGGCTGCACAAAAAATATACATCTGCATATTGATTCCTTAATGATGAGTTGACTGTGCTTATTTTAAGTTCTTACTTTTGGGTCATAGAACCATGTTACTACTGCTGCAGAGGCTGAACAGTCAGCTCCTGTTTCCCAGTCGTCTTTTAACAAGTACTGTTGCCTGTAGCTCTCAGATGCCTCTGAGGTGGCCTTTTTGTACTTAAAAAGATACCTGAAACTCCTCCCAGCTGATGCATTGCTGTTTGTATGAAAATTTACCCTTTATCCTGCCTTCTTTTTGTCCTACACTCTGGCCTGTAAGATGCTAGTTATTTATGGTATGATTGTATTATTTTAACCCTTTTTCTGGGTTAATAATCAGACTTTTCTTCATTTGATTACAGTTTGAGGGGTGGCTTTTATTTTACTTTAAGCCACTGAATGTTAGCTCTCACAGTATAAGAACTTGGCCTAATATTAAGACTAAGTTGATCCTGGTAGTGAAGTGCCATTTCCTACTTGATCCTAGTAGTGAGGTGGTCATTTTCCCTGCCTCTTCTGCCTGTGTCTGACCATGTGTTCTTCCTCATCCCTCTCCTCCCATGTTGGATTGTCAGTCATGTAGCCACAGGATGAAATTGAATTAAATGGACCACATTTTTGTTCCCCCAGGTTGTCTTACTTTATTTCAGAGTTAGTTTGTCAAAGCTGACACAAGGGTGGGACAGTGTATGGAGAGGCAATTCTGACAGTAAGTACCATAGTCCTGACATCATGCTGCCTCCTGATTGAGTAACTGAGGCTTCCTCTGTGATTACTGGAGTCAAAAGAGGAATTTCCAAGGACTTTCAGTCCATTCAAAAGTGAAAAATACCTTTCTCAAGGTTCTTATTTTCTCTCAAGGTAGCCTAATTACATAAATTCAAACAATGACATTTCAGATCATTACAGTTACACAAGATGAATGCCAATCAACATCTTCACAGTAAACATCATTTAAATGAGTTGTTTTCTGACAAATTGCTCTTTTGTTGCTTGAAGGTCCTTGAAGCTGTAGGATATTTGCAGAAGAAAGTTGATTAGGACCTACCTCTTCACTTCTTTGTTTTTGGGTGCTAAGCATAATCCTCATTATGCATTTGCAGTTCTTAATCACCCACTGATGCTCAGCTTTGCCTTTTAAGCTGAACACTGTTGGCCATTTTTCTTTGTCTCAGTGTTCTTATTATGTATAAATCTAGATAGCATGCATAAATGCAAAACAAAGTTATAATGCTGCTTAGTTCTTTGACTTAAGATTCAAGTAACTTGGGTGTATTTCCTCTTTACTGGAGAACAAAACAGATTTTAAAGTAACTTCAATAATTACTTTTCTTTCACTGATCAATGCTACTGGCCCCAAGGAGCATGTATTACTGGAAATATTATGCTGATTTTTATTTCAGTTGTTCCACATAATTTCCAGATAGCGAAGTAAAGTCCCTTTTGCAGGTGCTTGAGTCCATCAATGCTTTTAAACATCACCTCCTAAGGGCACTGGAGCATGCAATTCCCAAAAGTCTGAAGTCAAGTAGGCGAGGCAGAAGGCTGGCTTGGCTGAACAGCAATATAGCAAAAAAGAAGGTGTATGCCCAGTGGAAGCGGGGTCAAGTGGCATGGGAGGAGTACAGAGATGCTGCTTGCCACTGTAGGAAGAAAATGTATGCAGCTGAAACTCAATTGGAGTTGATGCTGCCAGAAATGTGGGGGGCAATAAAAAAGATGTTTTTTTCAAATATATTAATGGCAATAGGCAGTGTAAAAATAACTTCAGCCCATTACAGGATGAGGATGGTCTCCTTACAAACAGGTAGAGGGACAAGCAGAGGTGTTTAAGGCATTCTTTGCCTCCATCTTCAGCATGGGTGATGGACCAAGGGAGTCTCAGTGCCCTGGAGCTGGAGAACCATGACTGAGAATCATCAACTCACAGTTTACTCTGGAATTGTGTGAGATCTGTTTGTCCAGCCGGATCTGTACAAATCTATGGAGCCTGATGGGATTCATCCAAGAATCCTCAAAAAACTGGCTGATGTAATCACAAAACCTCTCACAATGATTTTTGAGTGGTCTTGGTAATCTGGAGAGGTCCCAGCTGACTGGAAGCTGACCAGCTCTATCCCAGTTTTCAAGGAGGTCAAGGGGAACCCTGGAAACTACAGACCTCTCAGTCTCACTTCAGTGCCTGGTAAAATAATGGAAAAGATTATTCTGGGAGATATTGGAAAACACCTGGAGACCAATGCACTCATCAGTCACAGCCAACACAGCTTTGTGTGAGGAAAGTCCTGCTTGTCAAACTGATTTCCTTCTATGACAGGGTAGCCCACCTAGCTGACCTAGGAAAGACAGTTGATGTAATTGTTTTGGATTTCAGTAAAGCTTTTGATGCTGTCTCTCACAGTATGCTCCTGGAAAAAATGTCCAGCCCACAGCTTGATAATCACATTGTGTGGTGGGTGAGCAGCTGGCTCTTGGGTCAGGTGCAAAGGGTTGTAGTGAGCAGGGAGACATCAGAGTTTTGGTGACTGGTCACTAGTGGGGTTCTGCAGGCTTCATACTCAGCCTCTGTGCCCTTCAACATCTTCATTAACAACTTAGACGTAGGAATAAGTTTGCAAATGACGCCAAATTGGGAGCAGCTGTCAACTCCCTTGAAGGCAGAGATGCTTTTCAGAGGGACCCAGACAAATCAGAGGGCTTGGCAGTCACCAAATGTTTGAGGTTTAACAAGGACAAGGGCTGGATTTTCCACCTAGGATGGGGCAACCCTGATCATGTGTGTACACTAGGTAATGAGGGGCTGGAAGCAGTGCTGCAGAAAGGGACCTGGGGATCCTGTCAGTGGCAAGTTGAGTCATCACTGTGCCCTGGCAGCCAGGAGAGCCAGCTGTGTCTGTCCTGGGGGGCATCAGATACAGCATCATCAACCACTCAAAGGAGGGGATTGTCCTGCTCTGCTCTGCACTGGTGTGGCCTCACCTCGAGTGCCATGTGCAGTTTGGGACACCACAATATGGGAAAGACATTAAGCTATTTGAGAGCATCCAGAGGAGGCAGCAAGCATGGTGAAGGGCATTGAGGGGAAGCCTTGTGCGGAGTGGCTGAGGTAATTGGGTTTGTTCAGCCTGGAGGAGACTGAGGGCAGACCTTATTGGGGTCTTCAACATCTTTATGAGGGAATGGTACCTATGTCTTCACTCCTGTGACCAGTGACAGGACGCAGGGAAGTGGCATGAAATAGCATGGTTCAGGGGAGGATATCAGGAAAAGGTTTTACACTCAGAGAACACTGGAACAGGCTCCCCAGGGAAGAGGTCACAGCACCAAGCCTGACAGAGTTCAAGAAGCATTTGCACAGTGCACTCATGCACATGGTGTGACTCTTGGGATGTCCTGTGCAGGGCCAGGAGTTGGACTCGATAATCATTGTCAGTCCCTTCCATTTAACATATTCTCTGATTACACGATTCTTGATCTTAGATATCTGTACTGAAAACTTGTAGAAATACACTATATGTGAGTTCTAATTCAGACTCCTTTTTGAAAGAGTTGCTAATACTGAGAGAAGATTTAGTGAACTCTTATCAAGACGTAAATTTAGCCTATGTCTTAGAAGTGATTGTTCTTTATTGTTTCAGTACTGTTTGTTTAGGACTCATGTTGAATTTCATTTCTTTTCCAACAAATACACATGGATGAAAGTATACCACTGGGAGGAAGAAAAAAAGCAAAGCAAGATGTTGCTTGGCTAGTCACTTGAAAGAACAGCCAAAGTACCACAGTGACCTTATTTTTATGACATTACATATTTTATGAGGTGCTTATTTAATCAACTCAGCTTCTGGTCTGCTTTTGGCAACCTTTGTAAGTGATTTTTGGTTTGTTTGGTTTTTTTGGTGGGTTCTTTGTTTTGTTTTCTTAACTGTAGATCAACTCTGCCTCATATTTTCAGAATACATTGTGCTTACCACCTTAATGAAAAAAGTATAATAATTGATTGTGTACTGTCCATTATGCAGTTTGCTTAGAGTTCTTGTAAGTTTTCAGTCTCTCTGACACCTTACATGCAGCTATTTATCTTTCTGATGGCTAGAAGATAAAGTTGAGTTTTACATTAGGTAAACCAAAAAGGTAGTGGGGATTTTTTTTCAATTATCACGTACAATACCAATATAAATACATTTAAGAACACTAGAACTGCTTATTGTTTTTCGTAGAGCCTGAAAATATGTCCTAGGTATGGAATGCATAGATATTTTTAATAATAAAACATTTGGGTTCCACTATTCTAGAGTTCTTATAAGT